AGGCATTGAAGAAACCGACGTAATATGGCGTGGCGTTACCGAATTAACCACCGTTGTAGCTCAAATTTGAAATTGGTTTTGTGCTTGAGTCATTAGAAACGAATTCGCCATGGCTGCAACAACGTTTAATTTCGTAGTGCCACACCAAGATACGTTCATTCCTACGATGCCTCAAACTTAAAGAGACTAAAGATCTCATAAACGGATTTCGTTTCTTCAAAATCATCACAGCCATAAACTCATACACAGGCCCACGTGAATGGCTACATTTCAGGCAATTTAAGAAACGAAATCGCAATGGAGTCTACAATGGTGCTTAATTGCGTAACACCGCGCCATATTACATTGGTTTCTTACATTGCCCGAAATGAACAAAGCCTGAAATTCAGAGAAACATATTTCATTACTTCAAAATCATCATATGCCATAAAATATTTACCCATACCAGCACGAAGTTTAGGCGTTTGAGGAAATGAAAGAAACAAAATCGCCAGGGCCGCTTCAACGGTGGTTAATTCCGTAACGCCACACCAAGTTGCATTCAATCCTTCATTGCCTCAAACTGTAAAAACCTGAAAATCAAAGTAATTAATTTCATAAATTCAAAATCTGAACACCCGTGATTTCTTATACACACCCACACAAAATTGATACACTTGAGGCAATCTAAGAAACCAAATTGCCATGGCTGGTATAATGGTGGTTAGTAAGGTAACCCAACGTCAAGTTACGTTCAGTTTCTTCACTGCCTCAAACAAACAAAGCCTAAAAATCACAGTAACAGAATTGGGAAGCCTAAATATCAGTGCCTAAAACCGTTTTAGCTCAGATTTAAAATCCAGTGTTGGGCTTGAGCCATATCAGACACGAATTCGCCATGGCTGCAACGGCGGTTAAATTTGTAATGCCACGCCAAGATTCGTTTGTCTCTTATATGAACAAAGGCTAAAAATCTCATAAACGGATTTCGTTTCTTCAAAATCATCACAGCCATAAACTCATTCACACCGGAGTAAAATGGATACATTTCAGGCTATGTTCGTTTAAGGCATTGAAGAAACCGACGTAATATGGCGTGGCGTTACCGAATTAACCACCGTTGTAGCTCAAATTTGAAATTGGTTTTGTGCTTGAGTCATTAGAAACGAATTCGCCATGGCTGCAACAACGTTTAATTTCGTAGTGCCACACCAAGATACGTTCATTCCTACGATGCCTCAAACTTAAAGAGACTAAAGATCTCATAAAC